TGGCGTAATTTGTTTTAAGAAGGAGTGTGTTGTGTTTCTTCGAATAGTGAACAATTCTTATTTGTTGATATCATTATGACTGGTGATGACAAAGAACCATCAATGTTGTCGTTGCATTCATATGTAATATTATTTTTTCTTCTTTCTCCAAAATATAAGTCATTCTTTATTCTTCAACCTTATTTAACAATACTATAGAAACACACGGATTTATTATCACATAGTAATGCATATTTCAGAATTTAGATTACTAACAAATACTTACTATTTAATTATAAATAATACTAAAAATTGACGAGGCCGGGATAGGGTATCGATATTTTCTGTATCCAACTAACAAATTTTACAATTTTTAATAATATATGATGGAATTATTTTTTTCAATTTCTTGTTTGTGGTATGGTATACTCAATGAGGGGTCATTTATTAGATAATATATTTTCGCTTTTATCATGACTTTTAAAGAAACATTGACATATATTCAAACTGGTTTAAATACTTTGAAAACAGGCGTCCGTAATGAGAATATCCAGGTTTTACAGTTTTTAAAATAAAAAAAAAATCTAAAGTTAAAGAGTACAGGTCTGAACGTAAACACAAGTGTTAGAACTATTGTAAATATAAAAATATAATGTAGTATAATTGCCAACGAGACAACTCTCCACAAGAGACCAAATGCTACAACTATAGGTCACCGTATGGCCTTCCAACAATGAGCAAAACCCATACAGCATAGTCAGCTATAAAAGGCCCCGAAATGACAAATGTAAAACAATTCAAGCAAGAAAACTAACGGCCTAACTCATGTACAAAATTATGAACAAAAAACAAATGATACACAGAAACAAACGACATCCACTGAATTACAGGGTCCTGACTTGGGACAGGCACATACAGTAAAGTACAATGAGGAATTTGAAGATTTAATCGGTTTTAAAGTACAGTGAGGAATTTGAAGATTTTAGTTATTTTCGTGATATCTTTGAAGATGATCATCCGGACGTGTATATTATTAAAACTTAATTGTGTTCTTGACAATACTAAATATGCAACCATATTCCCAATAGCCAGTACGTTGGTATCTGGATGTAGTAATTATACATCTTGTAACTAAATGTTCAAGCTGTAAACTGTATACTTGTACTTAAAGTAAGATTGAATCTCCATCAGGCAAAATCCCCTCATTTTGATGTGTTGTTAAGTTTGATTTTTGTTTCTGATGCTCACATACGTTTCTAGTGTAATTTTATTTCACAACTTTCAAACTCGATCGTACCTGAAGACGGTTATGCAAGAAACACAGCTGGTACTGCGCAAATAATCGATATCATATGTCATTATTATTAATAGGATATGTAAACTTTGAACGCAAAATCTAACGGAATTGTACCTTTGCTGTTTGAGTTTAACTTGTTAAATGTAGGAAAATTAATACAAAATACAGTTGCTTTCATCTATTCATGAAAAGTTTTAAGTTTCCGTTTCCTCTATTTGAATATCTATGATATCCTGTTGGTTAAGTTCACCCAGTTGAACAATATTATGACGAAGTTCCCAAGGATCATTATAGTTGTCACGAACAGCTCTGTTTTCTTTTCCATTATCTATATCACAATTTCTATCTTTTGGTACCATTGGGTTTTTATTATTTATATTCCTTCGAAATTTCTGGCGGGCTGTTTGACAAACTTTTACAGTTAAATGCTTTCTGAAATTTAATGCATAAAGATGAAATATTACTTTCTCTACTTTCAAATTGGACAATCAAAAACTATATACCAAAGGTGTAAGAAAAATGTGAAGATGTAGTGCAGTTTAAAATTTTTGGTAATAATGTGAAGTAACAATTACATCAACCAAACGACTCGAAAAATTTAAAAAAGACATTTAGAAATCTATACAATGTCGTGTTTAATATCGTCGAGAATGACGTCCACAAATATACGAAGATGCCTAATAAAAACCACAAGTTAAAGTTAAAGAGACAAATATACTTACATTTTCATTTAACGAATGTATGAAAATATTTCTCAATCATTACAGAAGATGGTGACAAAAGAGTGTTGTCAATGCATTATTTGTACTGCTTATTAGCTTAAACATTAAGTGTAGTAAAGCTCAATAACTTTGCGAATCTAGAGTTGAAACTGTCATATTGCTTAAACTACCTTTGAATGTGCATACCCTTCCGGAGCAACTGATATCCCCCCGGTTTAGTTTTGTGGAGTTCGATTTGCTCAGTCTTTATCTTTTTATGTAGTGTTTTGTAGATTATTGTCTGTACTTTCGCCTTTTTTACCGTTTTTGACATGATTTTGTCGGTCTGTCTACATGTTTACGAGTTTGATTCTACCTTTAGTATAGTCCTTCTATTTCTTAAAATCAACTCTGCCTTATTGTTCAAATCGGGGCACATCATAAATGACATTTCTGTTTGATGTTTCCTGATTATATTATCCTATTCATTTTGCAAAATACCTAACATAATAATGAAGGGATTGAAGGATCTGGCAATTTTGAGAATTACAGGGACCAGAAAATACTCTTATCATACATATCCTTTACAGTTTTAGATACTAGTTAAATAAACCTTCTGGAAGCGGAACGATTTAGAGCTTTACATAACGTTTTAACACATGTCAATTGTTGAAGACTGTAGATTAATCTGTAGTGTTTTGGTGGTTATCTATGTCTTTCGGATTATTTCTCATTGACGTATACCTCACATCCGTTTTTTAATAGGGCTTCAAATTTGAAATCTTAGACATGTTATAGGCATAGAGATGAGAAATATTTGAAATGATTCCTTTGTAAATAATCATTTTGTAAGTAGTAAAAATGTATAACATAAATACCAAACTCCAAGGTAAATTTAAAAAGGAGGACGGCCATAAAAACTGACGAAATCAAACGTTATCAACCAACGGAACAAGCGGAAAACAAGGATTGTAAAACCAAATAACAGTGTAATATAAAATAGTTTTGTGCTTAATTCAGTTATTTTATTTATTTCATTGCGAAATATTTATCTCAATAGAGAAATGCATGTTGTAAACACTCTTAAAGAAAAGCGGAAGATACCAAAGTCAAACTTCCAAGTATAATATGCATCATAATGTAAACAATTTATTTTCTCTTCTTTCATAGAAACGTTGAAATGGTCAAACTGGTTTAATTACTCTGAAAACACGCATCTGTAATGAGAATATCCTAGGTTGTACAGTTTTGATAATATATCAAATAATCTAAAGTTGAAAAATACAGGATTGAGTGTAAGTGTTAGAACAATTGTAAAGTACAGAGAGGAATTTCAAGATTTACAGCACATTGACTTCAGTGTGTAGGTAAAGGTAGTATCTTTTGTTAGCTTACTTGCTAGCTGAACCATGAAATCATTATCAGCTAAGGTACTATCTTCTTTTGGGCGGAGTCAAATGTTAAGCAGGGAACCAATCAAAAGTAGGGACAGTATATAAATATTGTGAAACAAGTTTTACAAGTTAGTTCAAAAATATGTTTTCATGTTGAAGGTGCGTTTGATTTATCAGTTTCATATCAATCAATTACCGCTGTTCATTTATAACTAGACTTTTTACAAGTGTATATAACATTAAGATTTGATCGATTTAAATAAAAACTTTCATGTCCTTATTATATATGTTTATACATATACTATATAGTAAAGATATCATTATCCATGATTTTAATGTGTATTTTTTTCGGGGAGTGCTACAGTAGGTGTAAAATTAAACTTAGTCGGGTCAAATCTTTCAGATGTATATCGCACATGCTATTGTATTGTTTTGATTAAAATAAAATTAACAAATCAAGCACACCTACAACATGCTTGTGAACTAGCTTATAATTGACACTATATTTCAAATTTAGATTGCAAACATATTTCAAAACTAGTTTTACAATGTTTATGCACTGTACTTACTTTTGATTGGTTTTCTACTTAACTGTAATAATTGACTCCGACTCAAGCTTACCAAAGATATTACCTTTACCTACACACTCAAGTCCTTGTGCTGTAAGTTGTTTTCTATATATCTTTTAAGATGATCATCCGGACATTTATATTATCAGAA